ATAAAATATGATATAAAATAGAAATTATAAAAGTAAAGGTAAATATTAAAGGATTAAATTATATATTAATTAGAAGAGACAACTCTGTTCTGATTTCTTAAACTGTTGAGAACTATAAAACTTCTTGCTCTCTCTTTCCAGAACAGGAAAGACTTATATTTATATTCCTTTGATTTGCTGCGCGCAACGATCTACCAAATTAATGATTTACCAATTTTAGCAGGAGGTAATCAACCTGGTAATCCACCTGTTATGTGCAACAAGTAATTTACCTAGGTGATTCACCTGGTAATCAACTTGGTGAGCCACCTGTTACATGATCTTCAGTTAACATAAATTACAAATAAATAATAAATACATTAAATAATAATATAATAAAAAATAAATAAAATTAATATTCTACAATATATCAAGTTTATCCTTTTTAGTATGGATGTGTTTCGGAAAAATAAAAAATACAAGATCGGTTATATAACAATCATTTTTTTCCTTAGTGTGTGTGATTGATAAATATATTAACATAATTAATGTAGTATTTAAAGTTTTAACTTTATTCAATAAGATCCAATTCTCAAAGATACTCTGAGATAACTATATATAAATTTTATTAGTACCAAATATATCTTAAAACAATTCAATCATTTTCACACAATTCTTTCTTGAGTTGATCCTGTTCCTGCTGTTTGATGAAATTATTGAGATCACTTCTGTGAAAGAATTCAATATATTTTTCATGTTGTTGCTCTTGTACTTTGATTACAAAACCATACTGTGGATAATAAATATCAAGATATAAACCACTTATATATTTTGGAGTTTTGAGAAATTCAGGTTAACATATCTTAGATGGAGGTCCAAGATATTTTGATATAATTTCTCAATACAAATTTTTGTATTTATATTTTGAGCAATAGGGGCACCAAGCTCCTCTTTGAATTTGATCAATTCGAGTGAACTATGAATGGCCTTTAGAACAGCTTCAAGAAAGTAGAAATGTCTATTATAATAAAAACTAGATATACATATACCACCTTTTATATTTGTGAGATTCTAAGCAAATTCAAGACTAAATTTTTTGTGTTCACGACATCAACATTTACTATTTTTGACCTCTGCAAGAGATAGGTAAAATTGATGATTATTTTTGTATTTCTATAAAAGAGGTGATCTATTGTTAATATAATTTTCAGAAATACATCTTCCATTTTTAGCAAATGTTAACTTACGAGCTATTAAAATATTAAGTTTTTTACTTACACAATGAGGCACCATGAATGTTTATTTTTAATATTATAGAATCGAGTAGTTCATTGATGAAATTTATTGCATTCCCAAAGTATTGGAGTTATATTATTAATATACTATATGGAAAGGTATTTTCCTTTATGAGATTCTGTTATCTTTATTGCATCATTCAAAGATAATTTTTTAAGCATTGTAATTAATAATATATTCTTAAATAATTATTTTACTTTTTAAAATATTGTACAGTATCACAATCTATATCTAAAAATAAGTAAGAAACTATTTATGCAAAAATTCTTTATATAATATAGATATGCCTGTTCAAGAAACTCAAACTTGAGATACTGACTCAATTTGTGATCATGTAGAAGATATTAATTATCGTGTTAAAAAAAAGTTAGATAGTTTATTTCAACAATTGCTTGAATTCAATAAAAAAACTTTTGACCTTTTTATATAAGAAATTACTAAATAGCTTGAGAAATGGGTTAATATTAATAATAAATTGCGTAGTGAAATAAAACAACAAAAAATAAAATTATATAAAGCAGAAAAATTACTCACGAGTCTGAAATCCCAATAATAAGTAGTAAGTATATCTCTGTATCACACTTTATTCGTCTAATTTTAAAGGGGTATCCTAGCTTTTCCTTATATAATAGACATCCTCTTTTGATCTGGTTAAATTGATTACAATGAATTCTCGATCTTACAAATTTTTATCAAGTATATCAATGGCATTATGTCAATTTTTCATATATCATCTAGCAATATGAGCTAGTTCATCATATGTATTACTGCCATTGAAGAGAACAATATAATTGAGATTTTTTCTTATTAATTTTGAATAGTCAAAGAAAGATTGTGTAATATATATGCTACTAATATTGAAGTGTCACTCTTTAGTGAAGTAACGAGTAATTTTTTCTTATATTTTTTTAAGTTCAGTACATATATCTTCAAATATAATAACCATTTCTCTCTTAGAAGAAAATTCTTCTATCTTTAATATTTTATCAGGTTTTATTGCTTGAAATATAACATCTTCACAATATGATTTGGAACTATTTATAATAATACTATAACAATTATGCAAATGTCTATACAGGCAGACCTATATATATATAATTACCATGTCAGAATTGAATTTTGATGGTGATTATAGCAATAGGTAATATTATTTGAAAAATCTATATATAATTATATCATATAAAAAATATATCACCAGTAATTATAAATTTTTATAATTAAAATTGTTAAAACTTTATTATATTTTATATTATATATTATCTTCCAATTCAAAATTTTCATTTATTTCAAAACTAAAATTTGAATTATCTACTTCAGTTATTTTAAAACTCATATTTGTAGAAAAAATACTATCTAATTTTGTTTGTTTTTTACTCATAAATTCTATTTTTTCAACAATTCGTATATATTTTTTAAATTTAATTAAATCTTTAAAACAAAAATCATTTGAATTTTGTTGTTCAAAAAAACTTATCCATTTTTTTAAAAATGCAAAATCTTCTTTAATACTAACAGTAGGTGGTTCTTCATTGTTAGATTCATTGTTGATATTTTGTGATACAGAATTATTTTCTTTCAATATTAATTTAATTATTTGATCATCTGTTAATAATTCTTTAGTAACTATATTATTGTTATCTTCAAATTCTAATGAAATATCTATATCTAATAAAAGATTATTAATTTTATTTTAATCATATAAATCTTCATCTTACATATTATTTTCAGCATCATTAATTTCTTCTTCACTTGTATTTGATAAAATTCCAGTTTTTATCTAATAATTTGTAATTGTTGACGATGTTACTTTTTCCCAAGTTTCTCCAATAAAATCAATTGCTTCTTTAACATTTAATTTGCTAAAAAAAAAATTAAAAAAAATAATTAAAAAATAATTAAAAAAATAATTAAAAAAATAATTAAAAAAAAATAATTAAAATAAATTTTAATTACAATTTATCTATATTTTCACCTCTTTCAAATCTTTGGATAAAGTTATGACAATATAATTGTTTATATTTTAACTATAATAAAATAAAAATATTTTATATTAATTAAATTTTTAATATATTAATTTTTAAATAAATTATTTGTATCATATTTTAAAATTATTTATAATACCTGCATCACATGGTTGTAAATGAGCAGTTGTATTTGGAGATAAATACTGTAATTTAATATTTATAAGATAAATTCCTTAAGTTTGAATTTGATCTTAATTATTATTATCATTTTCATCATCAATATGACCAGAATTTATATATGATGATATATTATCAATTAATAATAATATTTTTCTTTATTCCATATAAAGTTTATAATCCAAATTCCTCAACCAATTTTCAAAAATATCATGATGCATCCAAGCTTTTAAATTTGATTTATATATTACTGAAAATATTGACATATTAATATTTTTAAAATATCTTGGACATTCATAATGTCTAATTACCAAAGGTTTCAATTTTGAAGTATTAGTAACATTAGTTACTAACAATACAGTTAATTGTGATTTATTTTAAAAATCAAATTTTTAATAAATTATTTAAAAAAATGATATAATATTATTAATATTGTTCAAATAAAAAATATATTTTACTTTTTTTTACCCTTAACAAGATCAGTTGCCAATGTTTAATTACTTGTTATTCTATAAAACAATTCAGTTTCATCAGCATTATAAATATTTTTCAAATTCATAACTAAATAATAATTCTTGAATAATTTTCTTTGTTGAGATAAAATTTCTAATGGTGCTCTGTTAGCTTCACCATGTAAAATAAAAGAACGTAAATTACTTCTCTATTTAAAATTCATCAGCCAACTATTAGATAATGATAATGATTTTTCTGAAATATCTAAAGCCTGTGCAAATGTCTTAGCTTTTTTACATAAATGTTATCACTAATAGTAAGACCACCAGCTGATACTTGACTTATCCAAAGACCAATATCTTTTTCTAAGTGAGAAAATTTTACTGAACATTCTCTAAAAACTTTTGTAGAATTTTCAGTTGATATAAAATTCTTACATTTTTCTTTATCTTTAAGTATCTTTGAAATGTTGAAACATTTTAAAGACAAGTCAGTATATTTAGTGTTTAAATGGTTTGAAATTTCATTATGAGATTTGTCAAGATTTTGTTTAGCATAAAGATATTTTTTTTTTTATCTCTTGACTAATAGCCAAATGTTTTTGCTTTTTCTTTTGTGACAACATTTTTCATTAAAGTTTCAATTACATTGTCATACCTTTTAAATAGATTAACTATGTAAATTTAATGGGAATTTACATATATATACTTATATAAATAATTACATTTCATTCTCTGAGAATTATAATTAATTAAAGTTATAAAAATATAAAATTAAATAATGTAAAACTACTAAAACTATTTGAAGTAAGGGATATATTTATACTATTTTAACTACTGTGCCACAAAATACTATTTGCTAATAACTATAAATGATATAATACTAATAATATTAATATAATAACTATTACTAATAATATTAAATATAAATAATAATAAATGTTAAATAATACTAATTAGTGTTATGTAATTAACTAATATGTTTAAATATTAATAATAAGTTAAATAATTGTTCATCCTCTATTATAATGTATTGATACTATTAATATATTGAAATTTTAATTAATAATTATAATGTTATATTTTATACTATAACAATGCCTAAATAAAATATCCTAAGATCTTTTTATTATTATTATCTAACATGTCCTATAGAATTGTTGTTGTATATATCATAATGAAGATCTTCCACTGGTCAGCAGTGAGCTTTGAAAATTCTTATCCAATAGTGACTTTTGGCAGAATTCAACTAATATCGGATGAAAGTTGAACACTATCTATTCTCATTTATACTATACGAAGTTGCTCAAAATTTAGTTTATTTTTTTTAACAAATATGGATTGAATTATTTATTTGACGACTTTAAGAAATAGACAATGTATAAGATCTACCACTGCAAATCTGATTGGATCTATATATGAGAGACGAAGTAATTCAGATCAACATACTCCATGTTTTTTGAAATAAGCATCTCTTATTCTTCTGGTATCACATATACATGTTGCCCAAATCTCAAATTACTAGTATTTGGGATTTGGGATACCAAAATTCCAAATTACTAGTATTTGGGATTTGGGATTTGGGATTTCAGCAAAAAATACTAATCATAATTTGAAATTTGAAATTTGGGATTTGGGATTTTGGCATTTGGGATTTTGGCATTTGGATTTTGAATTTGGGTGGCAGGTATAATATCACATCTAAGCCATTCTTGAACATATTCTCTATGTAACTAGAAATCTACTAGTTCTGATAACTATTGTTTATAATTTTGCATATCTCTATAGTAAGTCTTTTTAAATGTCCTACTATATTAGCTTCTTTTTAGACACATGTGGCATTTCATTACTGAAGATTTATACTCAAATAACCTTTGTGTAGTTGGAATATCAGAAGAACCTACTATTATTGTAACTCTTATATCGAGCCCATCCTTATTTTCATATATTTCGGGAACTCTCCATCTCTCCTATAATTTCTTAAGGTCATCAACTATCAGTAATAAATAATGATTAATTTGATTCTTATCAGCTTCCTTAGGTTTTGAAAGAAAGCTCAAATAAATTATATTTTCGAGTTTATTTCTTTCAGCCTTAGGAAGATTGCATATCGAAGCATAAATAACACCAGTACTATATTATGTATATTTAAAAGGTTGGAACCAGTCTAAATTTATTAATAATCCTAAATTTGAGATGGCAATTTCTGAACTAAAAAATTTGTTACCATTAAAAGGAAATAAATTCCAGACTCTTCCATCATATATATTAGCATAGATATTACTGTCATAATTTCTTACATCTGATTGATCAAGCATTTTTTCAAAACCTGATCTCCAATACATGATACTTATTTGTTATTTGATTGAAGGTTTAAGATATAACATTTGAGGAATAACTACCATATTTTTCATATTTCTTTTGAAGGAGGAAAGTTCATTATTACATAAATTCTTATAGGTAGATATCGAATTGTTAAGATATTCTTCATAACGGTAATGCATGATTGCCAACTTATTATTTTTTTTATGATTATATACAATCGTTGAATCATATAATTTATGACAATTTGTACAAACTGTCATCCTTAATTTTGATTAAAAAATTCTTAACTTTTTTTTTGTTAAAAATAAAGAAACAGGAGATTTACAAAACTTAGAATTATCGATCATTATAAGAGTATAGTTTAAAAACTTAATTAAGGTATCTAGTGTTATATCAGGTATTCGATATCTTTGTTGAAACTTAAATAATCATAAAAAAATTTCTATGTTTAATTTATCTTCCAACTCTACTCTTTTATAATTCTTTTCTTCATCCTCTAATTCAGGTACACTAAATAAATTATTAAATATTTCTTTATTATTTATATTATCATCTTCATCTTCACCTATATTATCATCACCAATTTCATCATTATTATTTTCTTTACCATTGTTACCATTTTCATCTTTATAATCATTATAATCTATTAAATCATCTCTCAACTCATCTCCTAACTCATCTCCTAACTCATTTCCTAAATTAAACAAAATTTCATCATTATAAATATCAGGCATCAGCTCTTCTATTTGAGATCTATGAAACTTATCATTTCTTGTACATAATAACGGTATCATAACCATTTCTTCACCAAAACTTAAACCTTTAAGTATATTATTTATGGACACATCTCTAATTAACTTAAGTACGTCAGGTGTCTTCTTAACAGGCAAACTTCTTTTTTTTTTTTGCTATTCTTATTTGACGACATATTTTCATCCACCCAAGATTCATTTGCTTAATTATTATGAATGTTCACAAGTTAAAATTGATATATTAGATATGTGATAAATGTCCAATATGATTATTTATGTCCAATTTACATCTGATATATATGAAAGTTATTACTTTAACATGTGTAATTAACTTACCTTCATAATTAAACTTTCTTGTTTCAATTATTGCTAATTGAATTTTTCTTTCTTTATTAGATTTTCATAAAATTTCATCATTAGCATGTTTTTCTGGATCCGTACCTCAACTTCTTTTCTTTTATATGCCATACAATTATAAATATATTTATAATTTGTTCTAGGATTTATTAAATCAAACAAAGATTCCTCTTGGGTGATGTCACCAAAGGTTTCTGATTTTCTCAAAAACTACCTAGTAGGATGACTTAACAGTTCTTTTAAAAAGTTTATAGTCCTTTTTTAAAGGTAAGACTGTTGTTTCATTATTTTAGAAGGTACCATTGATTCAATTATTTTAGAAAGGGATCAGACCTTTCATCTATTTTATTCCAATATATTTTTAAGTTCATCATTATCCTTAGTATTAATATTCATCTATTAATCATCTTTTAATTTCTTCAACTTTAAATATTGTTTCCAATTATTCAGGTTAATTATTATTCCAAATTCAGGATTTATTATAATAGTTTATAATTAATTTCATTAACTCAGGAATAATAACATTATACAATTACACAATCAAGTATTTAATCCTATAATATTCATTATTCTTTTATTAACTACATGTTTTATTATTTAATAATTAATTTTATAATTTATATTTATATTTCCAATATTTATTTTATTAATTCCATTACAGAATAATTTTTACAAGTATTTATCTTGAAGTTACAAATTATAAAATTAAATTTATCAATTTTAAATAAGTTACAAATTATTAAAAATTCAAAATTATAAAATTGTAAACTAAAGAGGGGCAAGATAATTTCCGTCCCTTTTTATATCTAAATCTAGTAACCTTCATTACTGTCATTACTGTATCTACTGTGCCTTACTGTGCTTTACTGTGTCTTACTGTGTACTATTATTATTGATTATTATTATTTACTAAATATATCTGTTACTAATTAATGCTATATATTAATAATTATTATTAAATAATGTTAAGTGATAATAATTAATGTTATGAATTTATAGTTATGTTTGTGTAACTAACTATCACGTGAATACATGATCTTGTACTAATATTTTGTGACTACTTAATGTATATTACAGACTATAAATATTTACTAAAAATTATTAAAATATTACTATTTGTTATATGAGTTAATATTCACTAATTAAATTTTAAATATTATTTTAAAGGTTATTATTAATTATTACAGGTGTTTTTAATATTATATTATCATTATATTTTCATTCTGTAATAACAGATACAGCCAAAGGAATTTATAAATATAGGCAGAGAAAGAGAATAAAGAATCAAGATTTTTAGGATGAATTCAGGATAGAGGGGATGGTGGAGAGGACGAAAATGAAGTGGGTAGTACAAGGTAAGTGGATAAGTGAAGGTAAGTGGTAATAAGTATTGATAAGTAATATCAAGAAAAGAGAAAAAGGAGTAGAAGGGAGGTGGCGATAACTAAAAGGGAAACTATATAGACAAAGATTAAAGGTAATGGGATGTGATGGATGGGAACAAGAGCGAAAATGTAATAACAGTGTAAAGAATAATAAAAAAAAATAGTAATAATGTGAGAAAAGAAAATTTGATTAGAATATTAATTGTAAAGATATATGGGTATTTAATCACAATGAAGATACCTTAATTCAAACAAAGCTAAATAAATTAATTTCTGTGATAAATTTGATAGTTTTATTCAAAGATAACTGCAAAATTTTATGAATTATATTGTTTCACTTTATTAATTTTAAATTTACAAGAAGATTGAATAACAAAAAAAAACATCCTTTATAAAAAATTCATTACAAGACAGAAGCTACCAGAATAATTTCAATATGATCATTCAACATTTAATACGAGTGAAGATTGAAAACTACCAGAACAATTTAATATGATCATTTAACATTTGATTTAATTTGATTGTAATCATAACCATATATATACAGATAATTTGATAATAAAAAATAAGTTTTAATACCTTGTGCTTGTTTCGTTAAATATAGTTAATTGCAACTTTGTTTATAGTTTGGATTTGTCAACATCATATATTTGTGATCAATTATATCAAAAGAATATTTATTTTATCAATTAAACCAAACAATATTCATTCTATTAATTTTCTGAAATAAAGTTTATTTTTAGCCCATATACAATTAACTAGTATCAGGTTAATCCCTTATGATTGACTCTGCATGCCATGTTTCTCAAACACATATTCCAATCATGGAAAATAGAAATATATTACATAATCTGCAATAAAAAATCTAATTATTATGATCACAGTTTATTACATGATCAATTTATATATTAAGGCTATAAAAATTCTTTATATACCTTTGTACAATAATGTACTTTGTTCTTATTTTGCTTCTTTTTAAACTTAGAATAGATAGAGCCAAGGTTTTTAAACTCATATATCTTTTTTGAATTCAATGTATTGCTATTATCATTATCATAATCATATTTATTACTTCTTTCTCTATACTTTGATTTAGGGTACTTATTCAACTTAGTATTGGACTCAAATTTAGGTAATCCACACTTACATCTTGCCTTTCTAGCTGATAGCTCAAACTTGACTACACTTAGTCTGGAATAAATATTATTTATATAATATTCTATTTCATTGATCATAATGGAAGTATATAGTTTAGTATTAGTTGATCACTTTTTGTTACTTTCTATTTTTGAATGATTGGGTTTAGATTTACTTCGTGAGACTTTACCTTTCTTACATTTGTTCTTCTTTTGGTACTGTCACCAGGGGTTCCTTGTTCTCTTGAGAACAAACCAGTTGAGTGACTTAATGGTTTTTTTAAGGAGTTTATAGTTCTTTTCCAAAGGTAAGACTATTATTCAATTGTTTTAGAAGGTACCACTGATTCAGTTATTTTAGAAAGGGAATCAGACCTTTTATCCAATTTATTCCAATATCTTTTCAAGTTCATCATTACTTTTAGTATTGATATTAATCCATTAATTGTTTTCCAGTTCTATCATCATTGAGTGCACTGGTCAAAATTTCACAAATACTACACATATCTGATACCAGGTATGTGTAGTATTTGTGAAATTTCAACTAGTGTATTATATCCAGGTATAAGCAAAAAACTTGAAAATTTTAAATATACCCGGGTACTATGGCCACGATATATGATATGGGAATAGTGATCAATAGGATCAAGAAAAATGTCAAAAAAAAAAGGATTAAAAAAATATAAATTTTCGTACATTCAAAAAATAATTTTTTTTTTAATTTTATGATTTTCTGAGATTCTGTATCATCCGTTACGCAAAATCGTATGTGAAACAATTTTAAACAATGAATTTTTACTACACATATATAATTTGTAATCGTAACCACATATAAAAGTTTTTAATTATATAACTCAATTATCAAAATGTTATTAAGTAGACTTGTAGACAATGAAAATCTACATTGTCGATAAAAATATTAGACCTATTTCATTAAAATTGAGAAATTATTAGCGATCAAAGTTTGAACAACCGTACAAATTAGAACGTCAATTCTTTCAATTTTAATTAAATAGTATTGAAATTTTAATAGACGATGCAGATTTTTATTATCTACAAGTCTATTTAGTAACGTTTTGACAATTAAATTATATAATTAAAAACTTTTATATGTGACTACGATTGCAAATTATTATATTATGAATTTTTTTGGTACCCGATAAGTTATATATTTATATAAAATCGAAAATAATTTGAGAACTTAATTAAAACGTGACTTGTAGATAATAAAATATGACAAACTTAATATTTGAAATGTTTATTTTGTTTTCCATAAATATTCATATTAAAATTGTTTTCAAAGTATGAACACCTGAATAAATGTAACGATAAAAGCAAAGGTACACAAAACCCCGTTTTGTTTTCCATTTTGTTTTTCAAAACCTAAACTCTTTTTTCAACTTTTCACAAGTAAAGTTCCAATCAAAATTCTTCAATAGGAATAGGAAAGAAATAACTTGTAATAATCTAGCATTGAAAATAAAAAAATGGTATCACCAAATACGGATGAAGATATTCATAATCGATTGATTAACCAACAAAATCAAAATTCATATGATTCGATACCATCTCACGTTCTTTCTTCTCAACAACAGCAAGGTCGAATCCCTACACCTACAGGACCAACAAAATTCAATATGACTTTTACATTTTCTTTATTCGCGAGTGCTGGTTCGTTACTTTTTGCTGGAACTGTCTGGTATGTAATGGCCAATGCCGACTACCTCTTTTTCATTTGGCATCCTGTTTTAATGGCAACGGTACTTCTTTTTACAACAAACGGTATGTTTCTATTTCATCGTCTACATATACATATACATATATATAAAATCAATTCCATTTTATTTACTATTATTCTTATTTCTGTTATGATAAAATATTAGGAATCCTCGTTCTTCAAACAGCTACAAAAAAAGAAGAAAGAGAAGCTGGACTCAATTGGCATAAGTTGATTCAAAGTGTTACTTTTTTGAGTATTATTGGAGGTTTTTCAATCGTTTATTCTTTTAAGAATAGTAATAATAAAGAACATTGTAAGTATTTCTTTTGCGTAATTTACATAATTTAACTTTATTTAACCTTATTAACCTTATTAAACTACATTAACAAATATTAACTACATATATTTTAGTCACCAGCCCACATGGAAAATCTGGACTGATTACATTTATATTATTGTTGGTTCAAACAATGGCTGGTTCGATTTTTGTTAATTTTCCAGGTTTGGTAGGAGGATTAGTTAAAGCTAAAGGAATGTATAAGTACCATAGATTTTCTGGTTATGTGGTATTACTTTTCGTTTACCTTACAGCTTTAGGTGGTACACAATCTGATTGGGTTAAAAATCAATTTGATCACATTTGGGTTTGGTTATTGGCTACAAGTTTGGTATTAATAGGAGTTGTAGGCAGAACTAAAGGAAGTAAATTGAAAGTTTGGTAATTTTTAATAATTACTGTACTTATCTACTTTATTTTCATTATAGTTTTTTTTACAGAAATTACAATTTATCATTTATCCTTGAATAAATCTTCTTTTAATGGTAATTCTTTACATTTTTGAATTATTGTCAACGACATTTTTTCAATTTGATCATGAAGCTCCGATATTGATTGTCTTGCATCTAATATCTAAAAGTAAAAATCATTTTTATAAAGACAAATTTTTTTAAGATGAATATATATAAATACATAAATAATTGGTTAATACATACTTTCCAAGTAGGATCTTTAAGTGACAAATATATTTTTCTAACTTTTTTTTGAAATGATTGATTTTCATATCTTTCCTCACCAAATCCGCCTCTTTTTGCTGCATCCTCGGATGATAAATCCGTAAAGAAAATTATATCAGGTGTCAATAATCCTCTATCAGGATATTTACACCATTCTAATTCTAACCCCTGAATATTTTTTTAATATTTAAATAAAAATTAAATAAATAAATAAATAATTAATTAATTAATTAAAAAAAAATAATTAATAAAGATTTACTTTGGCTGCTGAAAATGCCAGACCAGAGTAAGCATATCGATCAACGATCAAAGTTGTACCATTAAGAATATCCTCTTTCATAGTTGACCTAACAATTAAATATAAATTATATAAATATAATATTTATAATATTTATAATATATATAAATATATATATATATTTACATGCATTCCCATCTATTCGCTGAAAATAATAAATGAATTGTTTTATCGTCTAATTCTCTAGTCTTTTTTAAATATTCATCGATTACTTGTCCTATTAATGTTTTTCTTTCTAAAAAAAAAAAAAAATCATAAATTATTTTAACAATATAAAACATCATATAACAAATTTTTAATACCTGGAAATTTCCATAGTTTAACTGGATGTCCAAGACTTTGAAGGTATTCAAATAATTTTGTTGCTTGCGTAGTTTTTCCAGCGCGGTCACAACCTTCAAAAAGAATAAATGCTCCTCGCTTTTTATTATTATTTTCAAATTTTGATGTCATATTTTTAATAAAATTATTAAATTTAAATTTTATGATAGATTTGTTGTTTATATACATTTTATTTTTATTTTTATTTTTTATTTTTATAATATAAATAAAGATTTTCAAAACAAGTTCTGAGACGCGTCTAAGAACTAGAAATTTGCACAAAAATTCAATAACATTTACTTAGATAGCATAATTTTATTTAATTTAAATTTTTTTTAAATTACAAAATTTTATTAATTACAATAATAGAATAATAGAGAACAAATATAATAAATATAATAAATACATATAATAAATATAATAAATATTCACAGATAATAATTATACAATGGTGTTTCGCCTATTCATTAATCCATGCATCTTTTCATCCATCATTAAATCTTTAATTGCTTCTTTACTAGATAACTCATCACTACACCAAATTTTAACACATTTATCAAATCCACAAGTAACTAACAAATCTCTTTCTATATCATACCACATTCCTCTTACTAAATCGGTATGACCTTCAATTTGATCAATTAATTTCTTTGTGCGTAAAGAATATACACGGATGTTTGAATCTATTCCATAAGAATAAAAGAAATTACCAGATGGATGCCAAAGAAGACGAGGGTTTGTAAATTTTCGAGATATTAAATTGGAAGAATTTGAAAATGATGCAGGTGAAGCTGGTATATTATCTAAATTATCTAAAATATTATAAGAGGAGGGAATATCTGTGTCATAAAAGTTTGCTACTTGAATTAATATTTTTGATTGATTCACGTTATTCCCATTTTTTCCATTCACGTTATCTTTGCCATTCACTTTGTTTCCATTCGTTCCGTTCACGTCATTCTTGCCATTCACGCCATTCACTCTATTCTTGCCATTCACGCCATTCACTCTATTCTTGCCATTCACGCCATTCTTGCCATTCACTCCATTCTTGTTAAATGTTTTAAATAAAATAATTCTACCACTTTCATCATCAGTAGAAACCAATAAATATTTACCATTATTATTTGGACTAGGAATAATATCCATAGCTGTAAATGATACCCAATCATCACCATTAGAATTCATATTATATTTTGTAATTTCGAACTTATTTTGTGATTGTTGAAGATTGATATAATGAAGATAATTGGATTCTCTAATACCAACTATTAAAAAGGATGAATCCGGAAGAAAACTAAGAGATTCAATATTTGAATCAAAAGTAATTGAATGAATTTTAGAATAAATGGGAAGAGGGGTAGAAGGGGATAAAGGAGATGATGAATTTATTGGAGATATTGGTGATAAAAGAGTATCTTGATGAGAACCATTGGCTGTTTTATAAAAATTCAAAGTGTGATCATAACTTGCCGTCACAATTAATAAACCATTAGGAGAAAACTTTGCTCTAACAACGGATTTTTTGTGATCTTTAAATGTTTGTTTAACTTCCATAGTAAAAGTATCCATTATAACACAACTTCCATCCACCGAAGCAGATAACATTAAATTTGAGCGAATAGGATGAAAATCTATTGCAAGAACTCCACCTTTATGAAAATCAAAAGTATTAAAAGTATCTCCGGTGAGTAAAGAAGTAAATTTTATGGTTTTATCCGCTGATCCAGTGATTAATGCTGCAGTAGAAGTAGTTTCATAATCTTTGTCAACGTAAGAAGATAATGTAATATCATGAAGACGAACGGCGAGAATATTTGAAGAATGAATTTGAGAAAAGGTTTCGCAAATGTATTTTGGATATAAAGCTTTTTCCGAAGAATATAAATCTTTATCGATTTTTCTACAATAATAATAATAGTATAATAATAAATATTTAATATGCATTTACATTTATTACGTGAATAAAATAATTAAATAAATAAATAATAAATAAATAATTATCCTTACATTTCATCTAAATTCCAATTTTCTACACCCTTTTTCAATTCATCCACTAAATGATCTTGTACAATAGCTAATAATGGTTTAGTAGATGACGGGTTATCAAATATTTCATCATTTTCTTCAATAATTTGATTGGCTTCTTTACGAAATTCTTTTAATGTATTAAAATATTTATTTGATTCGAGAAATTTTAAAACTAATGCGTGGGTGATTGGAATAACATTATTGTAATTAGATGATGATTTGGTCAAAGGCATAATTAATAAACTTTTTGAATTATTTTAAATTTATTTAAAATTTTTTATGGAATCGGATTAATTTTTTTAATGGAATTGGATAGTTTTTTTTTTTTCTGGTTATTGCTGGTTATTGGGGTTATTGGGACGAAAGATGTCCTATTTATATAAATCAAATCATCTTTGAATTCCAAATATGGAAAATTTTAATATAGATATTCATATAACATATAATAAATTGATAGACAATATTTTAATAACACAAATTCTTCTTCTTGGAAATACAAATTTCAAATTTTCAACCTTGAAACAAAAAAAAAACTTAACTTATTGTCTTTTTTTTGTTCCTGACATTTTTTTGATGATTGTTCTTAATATCTTCATAAATGCAATTCAATCGATTTAATAGATTTAATATAAATGGCAATTTTCATAATTCTTTAAATTTCCATAATATTTATTATCATTCTAACAATGCCTCCTTATTTATTAAACGCTTAAAGTATAACCCGGTTTTACGGAAACACCAATGTGATCACTACATGTGTTCTTCCAGTTCTCTCTTTAATTTAAAAAATGATTTCAATCATATCATTAAGAACAATAGAAACCTTAAAAACTTTATTTTTGATTATTACACAAACATTAGACACTTTTATAATGACACCTCTGTTATACTAAATAAAAAATTTAGTTCAATAAAGGAATTCTCAACTTGGTCTAAGGTTCAAAGAAGTTCGATATCTTTATTTATTTATTCTTTGGTGTTTCATGATATCATTTAGAACAATAATAATTTACATTTGTTTATCTAATTTATAATTTTAATTTTAATTTTCTCCAGGTGTCCCTTATGCACCATATACAACATATAAACCTCATGTACCTTATGTATCTAATGCATTCGGGTCTCTAAAATTTTCTAATTTTATCAAATCGATTATTCAAAAAAATGGAATTCCAAATAAATATAATAAATTTACACGAAAGTCTAGAATGTTTAGAAATTCTGAAACGAATATACAATTCATTTTTTATACAATAATTATATTTAATCTTGGTATTTTCCTTCTTTGGAAACAATCCGAATTGAATTATTTACACAAAAATGCCGGGTATTTAAATTTTATGTATAGAAATTTTGTTCTTAGTTTGAATAATATTAAGGAAGGACGTTTTTGGACAATGTTGACTTATGCTTTTAGTCACAAAGATTTGGATCATTTTGCAGTTAATATGTTTGTCTTTTGGAATTTTGGTAAAATTGTAAGTCATTATTATTTCATTATTTAATTTAATTTACAATTTTTTAATTTTATTTTAATTTAATTTAATTTATATAATTTAACAATCATTATTATTATTATTATTATTATTATTATTATTATTATTATTATTATTATAATTATTAAACAATATTTAGGTTTTACAAATGTTAGGAATTGGTCAATTCTTATTAATTTATTTTGGATCAGCATTGACTGCCTCTTTGGTACATCTTTCTTATAATTATTTTTATCATCCAAGAAATCCAAAACGTTATATCGGTAGTCTTGGTGCTTCAGGTAATTTTTATTTTTATTATCGTTTCATCTTTATTTGTCATCATTCTTTTATTTTTGTCATCATTCTTTTATTTTTGTTATCATTCTTTTATTTTTGTTATCATTACTTATTATCTTCCTTTATTTGTTAAGTTATATGGGTATTTTAATAACTTTATTAATTTTAAAATTAATAATTATCAATTCAATAACATTCATAATAGGGAGTTTAATGGCCTTAACCACAATTTATGCACTTACATTTCCTTCATCAACTTTCTTAATATTTTTTTTAATACCTGCACCAGCAATAATGGTAGTAGGTTTATATGCCTTTTATGATATTTATCGAGCAGCATCAAGGTCAATTGGAAATACTGATAGTGCAAGTCATATTGGTGGTTCATTATTTGGATTAATTTATTATTGGTATAAAATAAGAGGGGGAGGAAGAAGGAATAATAATGCTGCTATTATTTTGAGAAGATTCTTCAAATTTTGGAAAAGGTAAAAGGTAAGTACATAGATATATAATATTGAAAATAGAAATTTATAATTTAATATTTTATATTGAATAAATTATTTTAATTATTATTTATTGTTTTCAATAATAAATTACCAAATACAATTTATAATAATTTGTAATAGTATCTAATAGTATATAATAATAGTATCTAGACAATATTTTAAATTGCCGAAGCACCAGTAATAATATCAACTATGAGAAAAAAAAAATAGAGAGAGAAAATATATTAATATTAAATAAAATAAATGTCAAATGAATATCAATAATAATAATAATCTTACTTAATTCATTTGTAATGACAGCTTGTCTTCCACGATTATAAGTAAGAGTTAATTTATCAATCATTTCACCAGCATTTTTGGTTGCATTCTCCATTGCACTACGTTTTGATGCCATTTCGGATGCATGACCTTCTACCAAACCCCAATAAATGGAATTTGAAAATGCAAATTCTTGAAGATTTTCTAATACATCATCTTCAATTTCATATGAATCGAAATTACCTAAAAATAATAAATATTTATATAAAGTAAATAATTATTATAAATATTTTAAAAATATTCTAAATCTAAATTTAATTTAAAACTAAATTTAAATCTAAATCTAAATAATTGACAATCTAAATAAATTTAAATAATCTAAATAATTATGAATAATTAATAAACTAAATAATATAAATAATATACCAGATTTAGAAAATGTTGTTTCAGAGTAAGCAGAAATAGTTTCTGCTTCGTATGAAATAACGGATCTAAAATAATTATAAACAATTATGGCTTGATCAAAATTGATTTTTTCTTTTAAAATTGTATCCGCTACAGAACATGCTTCTGCATAAGTGGGTATAGCTTTTCCAATTTGATTAAATGAAAGTTGAATATTATCTTTAACTGTACGTGCAAGTTGACTTTTTGCTTTATCTCCTAAAACTACTATTTGTGAACTTGGTTTCTCTTCTACAAGTTTACGTGAAAATTTTGATACACTTGAATGAATTCCACCACATAATCCACGATCTGATGAAACTGTTATAATTAATGTTTGTCCATCATCAGTTGGTTTGGTATCTGCATTATTAAACAGATCTAAAAATTAAAATTAAATTATTAAAATTATTAAATTAAAATTAATTATTAAAAATTATTAAAAATTATTAAAAATTATTAAATTATTAAAAATACCCGTCTGCGTGGCACCGAAAGTTCGTGCAACTTCCATTGCTTTTTGAGCGCTGAATAAAAAAAAACAAATCATTATAATAATAATTATAGTAGAAATATTGGTAATAATTTTTTATAATTTGTTGAAGTGATGTTTTTTACCGAGCCATCTTTGTTGATGCAATCATTTTCATTGATTTGGTAATCTATTTAAGAAAATAAAATAACATTTCTAAAATTAAATTAATTAAATAAATCGAATATTAAAATTATATAAAATTACATTTTCAATAAATTTAATACCTTGGCAATACTATTTACGGACTTTAGCCGTAATTGAACTAAAAAAAAAAAGAGATAATATATAATAAGATAATTAATTAAATAAATTAATAAAATTTGTAATAATTACTTACTTTCTTTCAAGGTAGCATAGTTACGGTCTTGACTTATAAAAAATTAAACGAAAGGTCCGAGAATTGTTAAAACAAAAAAATTGCTATTATGTCCAATTAATTAATTAATTTATTCTATTTTTTGAGGGAAAAAGAGAGAATAGTACCTTTGAATAACTTTTTTTTCCACAAAGGGACAAAAGGAACGAACGGAACGAATAGAATGAATAAAACGTAATGCAAGCATACTGAAATAATTGAATTGAATGAATGTGTCTCGAAAATTTTATTTTTATATAGATTATCTGTCATTACACGTGATTAATTATAAAATTTGAAAAAATTTTGAATTAATCATTCCTCCTCTTCTCTTCACATATCCATACAACAGAAATGGGTAGAGTAAGTAATCTATCCTCATATTTATTTTATTTTGACGTTGAAAATCCAAAGTTTTATCTCATTGACTTTAAATGGATGAATTTTTTTTTTTTTTTTGAGTTAGCAAGAGTTTCAACATTAATAAAGATATTTTTAAGAAGTTTCAGTTCGATAAATTAGATTTATCACTGACTAAAAAATTTTTTTTTTTTTTTTAGTTACATGAGTATCAAGTAGTTGGCCGAAAATTGCCAAGTCAACATGATCCTGTTCCAAGACTTTATCGTATGCGACTTTTCGCTCCAAACGAAGTTGTAGGGAAAAGCAGATTTTGGTATTTTTTAAAAAAGCTTAAAAAAGTTAAAAAAGCTGCTGGTGAAATCGTTTCCATTAACGAGGTAAAAGTCATTCATATATTTATTTATTTATTAATTATATTTATTATAATTATGATGAATGATTAATATAATTATTATTATTAAAAAATGGTTTCAATATTAAAAAATTGTAGATTTTCGAAAAAAGACCATTGCAAATTAAAAGTTACGGTATATGGCTTCGTTATGATTCTCGTTCCGGAACACATAATATGTATAAAGAATATAGAGAAATGACTAGGTATTTTCACATATTTAATTTTTTAATTTTAATTTTCTACTGTTTTATATTTACGAATTTTATTTATATATTCTTTGCGTCAATAGAACTGATGCTGTTGCCTCCTGTTGTAAGTTACTTTTACATATATTTAATTTATTACATAAATCTTTTATATATATATATATATATATATATATATACATATTATTTATTTATTTATTTATTTTATTTTATTTGGTTTTCATTTATAGATCAAGACATGGCCGCTCGTCATCGTGCCAGATTCTCTTCCATTCAAATTATGCGTGTTTCAGAGTTGAAAAAATCTCTGGTAATTTGAATATTTATTATTATTTATCTTTTTTTTTTTTGACACAATTTTTAAAACCATTTGAAATGTTTCATCCATTTTATTATGTATTATTATTTTTTTTTTTTTTAGGTGAGACGTCCTTATATTAGACAACTTTTGGAACCTAAACTTAAATTCCCACTTCCTCACCGTGTTATTCGTAGTGGTAGAAAGTCTACTTTCCTGGCTAAACGTCCTTCCACTTTCTATTAATAAGAATGTTTATCTCATTTTTTATTCGTTTATTAATCGTTCGTTAACTGTTTTGTTGAAAAAATTTTTAAAAAATTTGAAAACAAAAATAAATAAAATTTATAAAATTTCTACATTAATTATTATTTAATAATAAAAATACTAATGAATGGTTTGTCTATATTATTTTTTTAATTATTTTTAAATTAGTTAAAATTTATACATGGGGAAAAATACTTTTATTATACACATAAATTAAAAAAATTTTTTTTTTCTATGACTATGAATAATCATACATAAATTATAGTCCTATAGAATTTGATAAAATGTTCAAAGGTTAAGAATATTTTTTGGGGTTTTTTTTTTTTTAAAAAAAAAAAAAAAAATTTTTCTAAAATTATTATTAAAAAAAAAAAATAATTGTAAATCTCGTTCACATAATATACATAATTTAATTTTCACCAGGAATTTCAAAATAATGCTTAAATATGCTCTCATTTCTTAGTGATTCAGATTCCGCAATAAGATAATATACATGTAACATTAATTTTGGAAATCTCGAAGTAAAATAAAACAAAAATCCTTCAGGTATTTCACCCAAAGATCGTTTAACATTTTCAGGTAAATCCTGGTAATGGTGTTTCTGTAAAGAATATTTTATGAAATAATAATGTGAGATAATATAATATATTGAATATATTGGATATTGGATATTTGAATATATTGAAATTATTCTAATTATTATATCAAATTATTTAATTTTAGATTGTTAAATTAACAACACAAACCTTATTTCTGAGTGCTCTTAATAAATCCCTAATTCGAGATCCATCATATTTTCTATATTTTCCTAAATTTTCTACCAAAATCTTATCAATTCGTTTATACCAATCAGGACTTATTATATGAACAGCATTTTGTTCTAATCGTTGAAGTAATGAGGATGGTGGATCTCTTTCTTCAACTTCAAATCGATCCGAAGCATCTTGAAGAAATCCAAGACGTTTTGAAGGTGACCAAAAATATGGGTGAGTCATGACTGTTCCGGTTTTGGGTCTAAAAAAAAAAAACAAAAAAAACTTTTTAATTAATTTATTTATTTGAATAATATTTAAAAATAATATGTCTTTTTTAATATTACCTCTTCTTTGGATCCCGTTCAATCATTCTCTCTATTAAATCTCTTGCCATAATTCCTTCCTCACCTACTCCATCTAATTTATTCAATTCATAAACTCCTTTCAAAATATTAATTTCTCTTGAATAACGATCACCAAATGGATGATCTCCATCAGATAATACATAATAAAATAAACAACCAGCAGAAAAAATGTCAATCGCTTTTGTAACTCTACGTGGTTGTCCATTCTCATATTCTGAACTATTTGAAGAGGAAGAAGAAGATGTAAAAGAATTATCATTTAAACGATCAACCGATGTCCAAACTTCTTCTGAAATATTATTTATACTATCAGGGGATGGAGGTGATGATGGTGAAAGTAATTCCGGTGCTCTCCAACCAATTGTTCCTCCGGCATTGTTCGTGGTATTATGAAAACTACTTGATTCTCCTTCCAATTTTTTGCACAAACCAAAATCCGATATTAAAACCCTAACTGATTTCGTCTCTTGTGTGATACCATCCTTTTTTGTAAATTTTTTATATCTCGAGGGTGCCAATAAAATGTTTTGTGGTTTAATATCACGATGGACAATCTTCATTGAATGTAAATGATGTAGACCCGAAATAATTTGATATAAAACTTTTGATGGATGAAGTGTTGACAATAGATTTGAATGTTGAAACGTTGAACCTCGCTCAATTAAATCATATAAAGATGCTGGACAAAGTTCAAGTGCAATATATAAAAATCGATCACACTGCTCCTTGCAATAATAACGAATAACATTCGGATGATCATCACTTTCTTGAAGTAATGAAACTTCGTGGTGTGCGATGTCATAAAAATCGATTAACAAACGTTTTACCGCAACATCACGTCCTTCGAACGATCCTTTGTACACAATTGTACCATGACTTCCATAACCTGTTTATAATATATCAAAATAAATGTAAAAAAAAAAAATGATTAGGATTAAAGAATAAAAAATAAATAAATCTATAAAAAAAAAAAAAAGGTAATAAATACCTAAAATTTTATCTGTAACCATTAATGAATTCAATTTTAATTCACCATTAACATTGGTTACTGTAGATGTTATGTTGTTCTCCGTTATGGTCTGAACATTTTTAGTTGTGTTATGATTGGTTAAATTGATAGTAGTATCTTCAACAACTTTCGTGGGAGGATTAACTTTTGTTGGAATTTGAACTTTCACCTTTTCATCATTTTCCTTCTTTTTTGTAACTACTACCGGATTTTTTCCATTTTTCTTTTTCTTTTTAGGAACATCTTTTTTTGCGGTTTTTTGTGTAAACATTTTACCCATTTCATTATTAATTAATGAATTATCAAATGATTTATTTAAAAATTTGAATTTAGTTCCTAATGGTGTAATGATTAATTCTGACCAAGACTTAATTTCATTTCCTTGTTTTTTATTCCAATAAATAAATCCTAATATAATTATCATAATAATTATTGCCCATGATATTCCAACTTGTGCAATGGTTTTTGGATGTTCAAATTCAATAGTTTTGATTTTATTATTATCCTTTATATTAGGAGGTCCTTCAATACCAGGTCGATGTTTTTCAGGAGGAGCCATTATATGATTCCCAACCAAACATGAAGGGAAATTATTTGAACCTGGATGACAACGTTCTCCACCTTTTGATTCTTCATCACCAACCTTATCACTAGGAATGTGATAAGCCATAAATTGAGTTAACGGATAATTTTCAGCTGACATTGCGAATAAAGTACCATCAACATCACCAATGTATGCGGATAAACGAGAAGGAAAGTTCACTTTTTTTAAATTTTCATAATAAGTAGTAGAAGGTTTAGGTTGTTTAACAATATGAAGACCACTTGGTAAATCCTTGGATGCCAATACATCAAATATTCCAACCGCCGGTGAAGAAAATGTTTGTAACCAAGCATGTTGACCTTTGTTTTTTTAATAATATATTTTATTTATTTTTTTTAATTATTTTTTGTTTATTCATTTTTTTTTTTTCGAATTTTGATAATTTAAAAAAAATGTAAGATTTACCAGAGGAGGAATCGGTAGAAAGGACTTCACCACTGTGAGTAGAAGAAATATATAAACCATCGGGTGAAGTTTTATGCATTAATTCAATATTAACATCAAAACTATGAGGTACATATTCAGTATATGTAAGATTCCATTTAGAAGTACCACGATAATCAAATATCGAAATTTTATATGCTATAATAATTAACAGTTACAGTTAGAGAGTTAAATAAAAATTTATTGGATCGATAAACTTCATTAATTGGATAAATTGGATAAAATTGGATAAAAATATGGATAAATAATTAATTAACCTACCATTCATTCCCACATATAAAGAATCTCTAGGTAAAGAACCCATTGATGGACATTCATTATCAGTATCACCTTCACTATTGAAAAATTGAAGCATCTTTCCAGTTGTGGGATCGATGGCAAAAAATTTTGTGGATTTACTGCCTACAATAAAAACTTTTCCGTCAACAGAACGAAATGGAGAATTCATGACCAATTGTTTTACAGTGTATGGAAATTTCTATTTTAATTTAAAAAATAATAATTTATTAATTTTTTTGTAATTGTGAGGAAGAAGAAATCATGAAAGAATTATTAAAGAAGATAAATTAAAGATAATTAAAATACCTGTAAACCATTTTTGGGGGAGAACATATATAATATTCCATCGTTATTAGGTTCAACAATATAAGTAATTTTATCCGAATCATCCTCATCTTCAATACTTTCATCTTTTAATTTTGTAAGGCGCGAACTATCGGATTTTTGATCATTATCCATATAAACATTTTCAACATTCTTATTTTTATCACCGACATCAACGTCAATAATAGCTTCACCATTACGTTCATTATTATTTGTAAAATTTGGTTGTTTCGTAGAGGGTCGTGTAAAGGTTCTGATCAAAGAACCATTAGAACCTTCTAAACTCCATAATACTTGACCAGTATATCGGTTAACACCATGTAAGTTACCATCTAATGTAGAAATGAGTACCAAATTAATGGGTAAAAGGTCAAGTTTAGGAGGTAAAGAATTAACACCGATTGAACGTTTAGGTAATTTTGATCGATGTTGAATAAGCTCTTTAGACTTTGCATAAGAAAAAATGATAAGAAATGAAATAATAAATAATGCCCATATAAAAAAAGAGCGCATAGTAGGAAGTATTATTCTGCGCGATCTCATTGTTTTAAATTAGATGTATTATTATTATTTGGTTACAATACATATGTAGGCAATTCCACAATTTTTGGTATAATGATATAAATTATTTTATTTAATAAGTAGAAAAGAGTATAAAATTGAGACAAATTTAAAGTACTTTTAAAAAAAATTGGAGGTCTTTTTCTAATTCGAAAAGAAAAAAAACCATACACTTTTAATAGAGGAGATAAACGTTTCTTGTAGGTTTCCATTATGTTTATTTTTTTTTGTGTCGATATGTCGTATCACATGGAATGATTTAAAAAGAATTATATTTAGATAATTTAGTAGTTCTTGACTCAACACATGAATTTGTACTTGTATATATTTATTACTTGTTTCAGTGATATATAAAAAAAAAAAATCTCGCGTTATTGTATATTCATAATGAGGCGGCGAAGTGATGATTGAATATAGTTAAGAAAAGAAAATCCAATAAATTAAACAGGTTTTATAATGAATTTCTGAATTTCGGCACTGATTAGATAATTCTTCAAATGCAACCTAAGACCATTCTCACGTGAACAAGGTACTTATAATTTCAAAGCCACAAAAAAAAACTAAGGATTTGATGTATTCTATACGTAATTAAGGCTGTGAAAAGAACAGATTATTTTCTAACTGATTTTCCTGATTAGGTTAATTTTCAAACTTCGCCATGATTGTAACTGAAACCTTATTTGATTTTTTAACCAATAATATGAATTCCACGGGGAACAGATAATTTCTTTTTAAAAAGTTGCAAGAATTCAAATTGAGAAAACGAGATAACATTTAGGACCGGAATTTTTAAAAAATTTATAATTTTTACGACATTCATTTTTATTTACAACGTAAAGTCATGTAATTACATTTTATTTAATTTATTCTTTAAAATATTATGAATAATATAAAAAAGAATTTTTTTTTAAACGATTCCCCTTTAGACGATAAAATTTGGTTGGCGAAAGATTTTCAAAAAATCAAGTATACTCAGATAAGGGTTTTTTTATAGTGTATTTTTTTTTTTTTTTGTTTACTTTTTTCGCGTTTTTTTTTTTGTCTTTCACCTAATTTTTAAAGGAAAGTAGTACGAAAAGGTAAACATAAAGTTAATTGGTAATTTTATATTATTTCTTTATTATTTTTTTACTAATTCCAATATTAAACAAAATTTCTTTATTTATATATTGTTTTCAAATTCTCACTATTCCAATATAAATAAACAAATTCTTTTTGTCTTACATTTCCACCTTTCTAAAAGATTATAAAGATTATTCTATTTTTTTTTTTTGTTTGTTTGTTTATATTATCACGGAGGTATCAGTTATTTAATTTTTATTTGTTTCATTTTGAGCAATAAAATAAAATTTCCAAGTATATTGCAGTAGCCACCATCAAAGTAAGGTGTTAGTAATCATTCTAATTGTATTTTTTATTTATTTTTTCATTCTTTCCTTGTCTTTTCTAAAAAAAAAAAAAAAAGACAATTTTTTTTTTATTTATTTATTTTTAAATAAATTTTTTTTTGTTTTTTTTTTTATTTTGAGCTACTAAATAATTAGTTTTAAGTGGATTTTTTTTTATAAATTTATATTGTTTCCAAAAAAAAAAAAACAAATATTTATATATATTCAAATTTCCACCATAAAAACTTTTAATTTAAAAATACACATAATCCCGAATAAAACCTGCACAGAAGTAAGCGAAGCCCGGGACTTTAATAAGGTAAACACCAAGGAGAGGTGGGATCTTATTTAAGCACATCCATGTGTTCAATGTATTACAATAAATATATATATAATAAAAACTTTATTCTAAATCTGAATTTCTCAACTCTTAAATGTTGTTAAGTCTCAAAGTTTAATTTTTAAGGCGACTATTATTTAGCTACCTAAGAATCATTTTTGTTTAATAATAAATTTAAAGAAATTTATTATAAATATTTTATTATATATACAAAAATTTTTAATAAGAATTAATTGAATTAATTGAATGATTAATTATTTATTAATTTTATCAGGATAAAATTTTTTCCTTTGAATTCAAAACAATTCCTTGTTGATATTGTTAATAGCAGCAACATATATAACATTTATACAATTAATAACATTAATAATTAATTCAAAAAAACTAATTGTTGACAAAAAAATAAAAAAAATAAATAAATAAATCTAATATAGAATTATGTAGTATCATTAACTAAATTTCCTATACAACCATATTTATTTTCAAAATGACCATGCCAATCATTAAGGGAATTAATTTCTTCTTCTGTTAAATCTTCTAAAGTATCCAAAGGTTGATCAATAGGAGTAAGCATTTCCAAATCAAAAGAATTTTTTGCAAGGCCACGGGATGCATCTCGACCTGCGAAATTACCATACATTCCCTCTATTATTGTAAAATAAATCATATATTATTTATATTATTAATTTTTATATATTTATATACATATATATATATATATATTATATTATATTATTCTATTTTCAAATAATTTATATTTAAATTATTACCTGGACCATAAAAATTTCTTCCTTTACTAACGTCATAAACTTTACCACGTATACCCAAAAAAATTTTGGTATCTAAAGTTCTACCATCATGTTCGATCAATTGTTTTGGAGTATAATCCCTAAAAACTATTGTTTCTGGGTGTTTGGCATCAGGAAAACTAAAAGATGGTGGTGTTAAGTAGGAATAAATAGTATAAATAAGGAATGCAGATAGAAACCAATTTAATGGGTTTTCTTGAAATTGCGTCAAGAGGGTTTCGGTTATAACCATTTTATTTATTATTATTATTATTAATTGAAATTAAATTTTTTAAAAAATGAGATAATAAAAAAGGTATTTTTTTTTATTGTATTTATACTTTATACTGTTATTTCCATTTTTGGAACATTACACAGATTAATAAAAAGAGTATAAAATGTTTTTTTTTTTGTATTTATTTATTTTTTGTTTCGACATTTTCGACGACATTTTTTTCGACATGGACGGTGGTTATTCTGCAATGTCTTCTTTCGATATCGAAGACAATCATAATCAAATTGGTTATTCTTCCATGGCAATGCCAAACGTGATGCGCGAAATTCCTATAAACTCCGTTGGGGAAGGTTTAGAAGGCGACGACCAGATGCAATATCAAGATTACAATCAAGATTATAATCAAGATTTTAATCAAGAATACACTGAAGGTATATTTGATCCATAAAAAAAATATTATTATAAACAATCTAAAATATTTTTCAAGACGATGCAATGGTTAAGTAGTGTTAGTGTTTATGATTTTATTTTCAGTTTCATGATGATTATTAGTATGTGAGTTAATAAAATAATATTCGGATTTCCTTTAGTTATTCATTCATTCTTTTCATACCCTTCACAACTTTTATTATAAAATTATTACTTTATAAATATTTTATGATATTTATTGATGTTTATTCATATTTTATCGTTTAATAATTTAGATAATTTAGAAGGTTATGTAGAAGATCCCGATTCACAACCAGATATTTCTCAAGAAGATTGTTGGACGGTGATATCTTCTTTTTTTCATGATAAAGGACTCGTTCGACAACAACTTGATTCATTTGATGAATTCGTACAAAATACTATGCAAGAGATTGTAGATGAAAATAAGAATCTTGTCTTACAAACTGTGTCCGGAACTCAGGGTGGGGATGGTGATAAGCCGGTAATTCAATAATTATAATATACAATTATAATATACACAAATATTATATTAAAAAAAAAAAACTGATCGATTATTACAGAAACGTTTTTATATTCGATTTGGTCAAGTTTATCTTTCTAAACCCACCATGACTGAAGCAGATGGTAGCGTTCAAGCGATGTTTCCTCAAGAAGCTCGCCTGAGAAATTTAACGTATTTTTCTTTAAAATATAATTTATATTTAATTTTAAATTAATGAAATTTTTATATTTAATAATAATTGTAATATATAAATATATATATATATATATTTTAGTTATGCTGCTCCTCTATATGTCAATATGAAAGAGGAAACATTAACCGCCGATCCTCGATTACCCGAGAATCAAATAAAAACAACATTAAATGAAATGTTTGATGAGAACTCTTTGGAATATGATCCGGAAGAAAAATCCTATGATAAAGTTTTTGTCGGAAAGGTAAATGAATATATTTAAAAAAATCTATTGAATTAAATCTTTCAAAATAATAATAATAATATTTATAAAAAATGGATTAAAAATTCAGATCCCAGTCATGTTGAAATCCACATTTTGTGTGTTGAATGGTTTAAATGATAAAAGTCTTTATGCTTTAAATGAATGTCCTTATGATCAGGTTTGTAAAAAAAGATTTACAATAAAGTTTAATAATCTTTTTAGAATCAATATAATATTTATTTCATTAATTGTAATTAGGGTGGTTATTTTATTATCAATGGTTCTGAAAAAGTTTTAATTGCACAAGAAAGAATGGCAACAAATACAGTTTACGTATTCGTGAAAGCACCTCCCTCACCTTATTCTTACACTGCTGAAATTAGGAGTGCTATGGAAAAAGGATCTAAAATAGCGAGTTCATTAGTGGTTAAACTTTTAGCAAAAACTGCTGAAAAGGGGGTAAAGTTTATAATAAATAATTATTACCTTTATATCTTTATTATTCCCTTTTCATTACAATTTTTTTTTGATCCATAATAAATATTATTTTTATTTTTATTATTATTATTATTATTATTATTATTATTATTTTAGGCAACTGGTCAATCTATTCAAGCAAATATTCCTTATATCAAAAAAGATGTTCCAATAGTGATTGCGTTTCGTGCTTTAGGTGCTGTCTCAGATCATGATTTTCTACAATATGTTTGTTACGATCCAAACGATTATCAAATGTTAGAAGCTTTAAAACCATGTATTGAGGAAGCATTTGCAATTCAAAGCTCTGATGTGAGTTATTATTAATTTTATGAATATATATATTGAATATATTGAGTATTGAAGATGTTAATTTTTTATTTTTTATTTAAAGAATGCTTCAGATTGGATTGGACGTAGAGGTACAACCACTGGTGCAACAAGAGATAAACGTATAAAGTATTTATTATTTAATCATATTCTTGACTTCTTAATTATAAATATAAATTATATGTATAAATATATATAAATATATATCTCTCTTTTTATTTATATTTATTTGTATTAAAAATGAATGTTTCCGTTTGATCATTTTAGATATGCAAAAGAAATTCTACAAAAAGAATTATTACCTCATGTTTCTATTGAATATGGATGCGAAAAACGTAAAGCATTCTTTCTTGGGTACATGGTACATAGATTATTACTTGCTTCTCTGGGACGTAGAGAATTAGATGATCGTGATCATTATGGAAAGAAAAGGATGGATTTAGCGGGTCCTTTATTAGCATCACTGTTTCGTATGTTATTCAAAAAACTCACTAAAGATGTCTCGGCATATTTAAGAAAGGTTCGTATGCCTGTGTGTGAATTTTTTAATTTATATGGATAATTTATATAGATAATAATTTAACTATTTAACTATACATTTTAATGATTTAATCATTTGATTATTAATACAGTGTATAGATTCAAATCGGGAATTTAATTTAAATTTGGCTATTAAAGCACAAACTATCACAAATGGTTTAAAATATTCACTTGCAACTGGTAATTGGGGTGATCAAAAGAAGGCTATGCAGGTAACAATATTTATTATTTATTTATTATTATATTTATTTTTATATATTTATTAGTATATTTATTGATATTATATATATATTTATATTTATATTTATATTTATATTTAGTCTCGCGCGGGAGTATCTCAAGTTCTTAATCGATATACATTCGCTTCAACCTTATCACATCTTAGAAGATGTAATACTCCAATGGGAAGAGATGGGAAAATAGCCAAACCTCGTCAATTACATAATACTCATTGGGGAATGGTGTGTCCAGCTGAAACTCCAGAAGGTCAAGCTTGTGGTCTTGTTAAAAATCTTTCTTTAATGTCTTATATATCTGTAGGAAGTCCTTCAAAACCTATTATAGATTTCTTGGAAGAATATGGCATGATTAATTTAAATCAACAATTTGATCCTGCAAATATAAAAGACAATGCTAAAGTTTTCGTTAATGGTAAATGGGCGGGAATTTCTACAACCCCAGAACAATTAGCTCATACTTTAAAAGGTTTAAGAAGGACTGTTGATGTGAGTCCCGAAGTAAGTGTGGTTAGAGATATTCGTGAAAAGGAATTAAGGATATACACAGATGCTGGTAGAGTTTGTAGACCTTTATTCATTGTAGAAAATGGTCGCTTAAAAATAACAAAAGCTCACGTTCAAAGATTGGATGTTAATAAGCTTGTAAGTTATTTAAATTATTTAAGTTATTTAAATTATTTAAGTTATTTAAGTTATTTAAGTTATTGAAAATTTTTAAATTTATATCAAATTAATTAATATAATTAATATTAATTAATGAAATTAATAAATCTTGTAGAAAAACCGTCAAGGGAACTCAGATGATGCAAATGATGAAGATTATTTCGACGATGAAGAATATCTAGATGATGATGATGATGATGATGATGATGAGCAAGAGGAAGAATTAGATGAATCCGGAAAGAGGAAGAGGAAGCGAAGAAGAGATTCATTTGAATGGACTAATTTAATTTCGAATAGTGTTATAGAATATATAGACGCTGAAGAGGAGGAAACAGTGATGATATGTATGACGCCCGAAGATTTAACAGCTGCTAGAAGATTTCAAGAAACAGGAATAAAACGACAAGATAAAATACATGAAAGGGATATTGCTGCACGTGTTAAAAGTGATTCGGCATTAAAGATAACTACGTTTACACATTGCGAAATACATCCGAGTATGATACTTGGAATTTGTGCCAGTATAATTCCATTTCCTGATCACAATCAAGTAAGTTATAAATTTTATATTATTTAATTATTTATAAATTTTATATTATTTAATTAATTTAATTAATTTAATTAATTTAATTGATTTTTTAATTTAATTTATATGTTTTAAAAAGTCTCCACGTAATACTTATCAATCCGCTATGGGTAAACAAGCTATGGGTATTTACGTAACTAATTATCAATTAAGAATGGACACTTTAGCAAATATTTTGTATTATCCACAAAAACCTTTGGTGACTACAAGGTCTATGGAATTTTTAAGATTTCGTGAATTGCCAGCTGGACAAAATGCTATTGTGGCAATTCTTTGTTATAGTGGATATAATCAGGAAGATTCTGTTATTATGAATCAAAGTAGTATTGATAGAGGATTATTCAGAAGTATTTTTTATAGAAGTTACATGGATCAAGAAAAGAAAGTGGTGAGTATTTATTATTTATAATTTGTTAATTTGTTTAAAATTTGGAAATTATTAAAAAAAAAAAAATTTCAGATAATAGATAATTTGAATAAATAATATATCTATATATCTATTTTCAAAGGGAATGTTAACTATTGAAGAATTTGAAAAACCCTCAAGAGAAACTTGCCTCCGTCTTAAACACGGAACATATGAAAAATTAGAAGATGATGGTCTAATTGCTCCCGGTACGCGAGTATCTGGAGATGATATAATTATTGGAAAAGTCACACCAATTACTAGTGATACTGTTGAACTTGGTCAAAGATTATCTTCTCACACAAGGAGAGATGCTTCAACACCTATGAGAAGTACTGAAAATGGTATCGTTGATCAAGTAATGGTGACAACGAATGCGGAAGGAATGAAGTTTGTTAAAGTTAGGGTTAGAAGTACAAGAATACCTCAAATGGGAGGTGAGATCATAATTTTTATTTTACTTGAATTAATTAAAAAAAAATTTTATTGTATAATTGATATGTTAAATATATATATATCTCTATCTACCTATCAATCTTTATATATTCCTTTAGATAAATTTGCTAGTAGACATGGTCAGAAAGGTACTATTGGTATTACTTATCGACAGGAAGATATGCCATTTACTGCCGAAGGAATTGCACCAGATCTAATTATTAATCCTCACGCAATTCCGAGTCGTATGACAATTGGACATTTAATAGAATGTTTATTGGGAAAGGTAAAATAAATTTTATGGATCACATTATTTTTTTGCTATATGAATGATTTCCTTTAATAACTTTATACTCAAACAACATAAAAAAAAAGGTTTCAACTAAAACTGGTAATGAAGGTGATGCTACTCCATTCACTGATGTAACCGTTGAGGCCATTTCCCAAAGTTTACGAAATGTAGGATATCAATCTCGGGGATTTGAAGTTATGTATAATGGTCATACGGGACGTAAGTTGGCTGCATCTATTTTCTTGGGACCAACTTATTATCAACGTCTAAAACATATGGTAGATGATAAAATTCAGTAAGTTATACCTTATTTTTTTTTAAAAAAAAAAAAGAATTTTGATTATCCGTTAAAAACAATAACATTTATTAATATGTTTATTACTTTTTTTTAGTTCTCGCGCCAGAGGTCCGGTACAAATTCTCACACGACAGCCTGTTGAGGGTCGTAGTCGAGATGGTGGATTACGTTTCGGTGAAATGGAACGTGATTGTATGATATCTCATGGTGTTTCCATGTTTTTGAAGGTACAGTATTATAAATTTTTTTTTAAAAAAAAAAAAATAGATAATTTCTTCAATATCGCAACTAATTTTTTTTTAAAAAAAAATACATTTAGGAACGATTATTTGATGCATCAGATGCGTATCGTATTCATGTATGTGATATATGTGGTCTAATGGCGATTGCAAACCTCAAAAAGAATACATTTGAGTGTAAGGCCTGTAAAAATACTACGCAGGTTTGTTTATTATTATGATTACGATTATTTTATTATTTTGATTATTTCGATATTTTACAGATAATTAATTAATTTTTTTAAATATTATTTATATTTAAATTTTAGATATCTCAAATTCATATTCCATACGCTTGTAAATTATTATTTCAAGAGTTAATGGCTATGAATATTTCACCGCGATTATTTACTTAATTTTCATTATGATTCAATTAAATGTAATTTAAATAAATGAAACTAAAAATATAAAAAAAAAAAATTGTATATTTTGCAACAAATTTAAATTTAGATAGTGACGAACTAATTGTATAAATTGTGAAAGATGTATGATAAAATAAATGATCAAAAATAATTTTACTTTTTTTTTCATTATTCATACATTTATTGATTTTTATATCAGTACAATAATAGTAGACACCTCATCTTTTGATAATCATTATTAGAATGTTAAAAGTTCTTGAAATGAGCAAGTTACAAGCAGATATTACTACTACACAAGCCATATTTATCTAAACAGCAAACACGGGATCGTTTTAAGATATGTAGCATCTTCGAGAATTAGGCCTCATTGAATAAAAATAAAACTAATAAAACCTCAAATGCTTTGCGATTCATTAATAATATTAATAATGACTATTTTATTTTTCCGATTATAAAAGTTTAAGCAGAGGGATACTTGTAAAAGTCAAATCACTATATATATATGCATTCCAACATATAAACTGACTACTAAATTAAAGATGCAAGAATTCGTGCATAAAATAAAATTCACAACTTCTATATAAAATTTTTGAATACAATTCTCCCGTCTATTTTTAGATTTTAGATCACTGTCAGCCATGTTAATGATATCAGAATCCACGCTCTCTTCATCACTATCAGATATCGCCCATAAATCAGTGTAGTTATCTATTTCTTCCCTTATGATCCGATCTAGGTCTTTTAGTATATATGTCACCGAATTACTCTTGAAAGTGACACTGTTATATCTGAAAGTTTCCATCCATGATACTAGGAAACGGGAACCGTTGTAAGTCCGGAGCAGTACATATTTAATTTAAATTTATTAAAATTAAAATTAATTTTATTATAAAATTGGATGATCAAATTATACACGTGAAATAAACGAACAAAGTTTCCTCCACTTTGCTCCAAACAATAATATCCTTCTTGTGTATTTCAGAAATGACGATATTATATTCTTTTTGTTGTGCAAATTTGAATATAATTCACATAAGTAATAGCATTTCTTGGATACTCTATAAATGTTCTAGTTATTTTTTTATTATTTATTATATTGGTCATTATATTAGTGATACCTGATGGAATTAGAACAAGAGCTATTTTAATTGTAACAATTCACAATGTCACAATTATGTTATAATTATATCATAATGTAATTATATATAAGATCAGAAATAATCATTGATAGTTGTTATATATAAAACTTTTTAGTTTATAATAAATATCAAAAAATATTATTAAATAATCTTAAAGACAAGAATGAATTACATATTATATAAAAAGAAGAGATATATGCCATCAAAATTGAGAGAATGATTAACTGTTAAAGTTCAAACAGATGAAAAATTTTAAAATAATAATAATTTGTTCAATTTAATTATATTTTTTTTTTGTTCCAACAAGGTTTTACCTCAAATTTATTAATTAGAAAAAGAAAAAGTCTTTTACATTACATAAAATTACATAATACAAAATAAATAACTTATTCTAATGTTTGTTTAAAAAGATGAGACTCAGACTAACTCATATGAGACATACCCATTGTTACTAGTTGACCTTTTGGGCTAATTTTATTTTCCAAAAGGCAATTTACAACTAGCAACTTGTAAACAGTTACT